TGAGACCATAAACTCATGTTTACAATGTTTACTGAGGTAATAAATCACGTTTGAACCTCTTCCTCCTAACTCCTCCTCCTCCTCGTCTCCTCTGCAGTGTCTGAGCAACACTCCTCCTCTGACGGAGTACTTCCTGCTGAGCTCCTACCTGGAGGAGCTGAACTTCACCAACCCTCTGGGCATGAAGGGCGAGATCGCCGAGGCCTACGCCGACGTCATCAAGCAGATGTGGTCCGGGAGGCATTACTCGGTGGTGCCGCGAGTCTTCAAGGTAACGACGTGAGAAACTGATGAGTCACTGATTACAAACACACGTCAGGGAGGATGACACCCTGAAGCTGTGGAGGTGCGGAGCGGTTTCTGTGCCTCTTTCACCTCGTTAACAGAAAGAAAACACTACAAACACTTCTGGAAGTTAAGCCTGAACCCCACAGCCCACCGGAGGGATGGACAAACATGCTTTAAACAATCACCAAAACTACAACGTTTATCAGTAACAGGCAGGTGGTAACACTTGTAGTCACTTGAAACATGTTGATCTATAGGTTATGTTGTTTTCTATTTTTGTAAAATAAATTATTAAAGGAATTCAACTACTTTTATGTTCTATTCTCTCTGCTTCTATCATGATGGTTCTGTTTCATAGAGGAGCAGAACTTCATGTTACAGAGAACATGAAGACCACAGAGAGGAACGTGACGCTTCAGACTCCGTTAAACTGGAGAACTGACTTGAACGAACGTGTCTCACTATGTTTCCTGTATTTTGTCTCATTGTCTTGTGTTCTTGTGTCGGTGCAGACGAAGGTGGGACACTTTGCGTCTCAGTTTCTGGGTTACCAGCAACACGACAGTCAGGAGCTGCTCTCCTTCCTGCTGGACGGACTGCACGAAGACCTGAACCGGGTCAAGAACAAAGAGTACATCGAGCTGCGGGACGCCGAAGGACGACCAGACCAGGTGATCCGAGGAACGGCCGACGCCCTCGGCTCAGTTTGAATGCGTTCAGACTGACTTCCAGTTGATGGACACGGTATTAAGACTTCCTCTTCCTGTCCCACAGGAAGTGGCCGAGGAGGCGTGGCGGAACCACCGCCGGCGGAACGACTCGGTGATCGTTGACACGTTTCACGGCCTCTTCAAGTCCACGCTCGTCTGTCCCGAGTGCCACAAGGTCTCCGTCACCTTCGACCCCTTCTGCTACCTGAGCGTCCCACTTCCTGTCAGCAAGGAGCGCGTCATGGAGGTCTTCTTTGTGTCTCTGGACCCCTACGCCAAACCTGCACAGGTAACGTCTGTTTCTCTACTGAAAAACTGAGAACGTGGTGGTGGAGTGTCAGGAAACCTTAAGGATATGAGTATGATATTAATGTGTGTGTGTGTGTGTGTGTGTCTGCAGCATCGTGTCGTGGTTCCTAAAGCAGGAAAGGTATCTGACCTCTGCTCTGCTCTGTCAGAGATGACCAACTTACCTTCCACACAGGTCAGTGTGTGTTTCATTTAATATTATTATTTTTAATTTAATTATTACATTTTCTATTTTTTGTATTTATTATTTATTTAATATTTTTTGTTTTTAATATAAATAAAATTTATTTTTATTTATATTAATTAAATTTTTTAAATTGTATTATTATTTAATTAGGTTAAGAAGAAAACTGGAATATCTACATAAAATTATATCAAAGTCTTTTCTACGTGTGTGTGTGTGTGTGTGTGTGTGTGTGTGTCAGATGGTGGTAGCTGACGTGTTCAACCACCGTTTCTATAAGATCTACAACGCTGATGAATGTCTGAGCTGCATTCTGGACCGAGACGACATCTTTGTGTAAGAAAACCCGCCGCTGCTCACCGCTCCATGAAGACACAGTCGTGTATGAATTTTTTAATTGTGGCCGCGGTGTGTTCAGGTACGAGCTGAGCGTGCTGGAGGAGCAGCAGGAGGAGCAGGTGCTGCTGGCGCTCTACCTGAGGGAGCGCTCCCACTACAGAGACTACGGCTCCGGCAGCAGCTCGTACGGGACGTCTCTGTTCGGACATCCGCTGCTGCTCAGTGTCCCACGAAGCTGCTGCAGCAGAGAGGAGCTCTACAAGCTGTTCCTGCAGAGGCTGACGTGAGAGACACACACACACACACACACACATATATACACACACACACAGAATCTGTGCGTTTAACTTTAAACTATATATATTGCTACGGTGTGTGCGCAGGCGCTATGTGCGTCATCCCGATCCCTCTGAGGAGTTGGAGGAAGAGGAAGAGGAAGATGAGGAGGAGGAGGAGGAGGAGCTTTACAAGACCCAGACCAACGGCATCAGTGATGGTATAGTCTGACATTAATCATAATCATAATAATGTTTATTAAAGCAGCGCTGACATCAGTGAACGCATCTCATTGATCTTCATGTTTTTAGTTCAGGCTGCTTCTCTCTGATTGGTTCTGTTCTGTTTTCCAGAGGAGGAGCAGGAGGACGCGGAGAAAGCCGGGCCGTCTCAAACGCAACCCTGCTGCGGCGATTTGTCGACAAACAGCCAATCAGACGAGACCGCCGCCACCAAGGGCCGCCCCGACGTCAACCATACGCAGCCCTCATTGGACGACACAGAGCCCGAGAACCAGACCGAGCCGGTCTGCAGCGCCGGCACCAGCAACACCGACGCTGACGCCGGCACTCCCAGCGGGGACTCGAGCGGCACCGCCGACGCAGAGCAACCGCATCCGCCGTGCGAGACCACAGAAGAAGAAGAAAAAGAAGAAGACAAGCAGGAGGAGGCGTGTTCTCCGAGCCCGCCGGCCAATGAGCAGCCGGCGAAGAGAAAGGCGTGTCGCAAGAGGAAGAGTCTGTTCACCATCCAGGCGGTGAACTCCAACGGGACGACGGAGAGAGGAACGGGGGAGGGAGGGAGCGCTGTGTCCTTCAGCTGTAGGCCCACACACACACACACACACACACGCTGACCCACTTTACATTATTCATGACAACAGTTCCTGGTGCCCTCTTGTTTGTCCTGTAGCCGAGTGAAACACAGAACTACAACATTTTAAAATGAATAACATTAAACGTATAATATAATGGCGATTAAGACTCTACGCAAAAGACGACGATTATGACTGACGAACTGATTTCTACAGCTCCTGGCTGTGATAAACGGTGTAGTTTTCCATCCTGCCGGCGGGTTTTGGGGTTCAGAATGTTAAAATCAACAATTCTCCTGTTCTGGGTTCATTTGAACATCAATATTGATGTTTTAAACAACTGAAAAACGAGATGCTCCGTGCAGGAACAGTGAGAAGCTGCTGCTCCAGTTGAACATGTCTGTCAGCTGTAGGTCACAGTACATCTGTATCATTCTGCATCAAACACAGATCAGATGTTTCCACATTCACCGTCTGATTGAAATGTTCCGTCTCTCCTCAGCTCAGCCCTATGTGGCCATCGACTGGGACCCTGAGATGAAGAAGAGATTCTACAATGAGAACGAGGCCGAGGTCAGTGTGAGCGTGTGTCTTTACATTAAATGGTAAATCTGGTATTTAGCAGATAGCAGCTGCTCAACGGGCTGCAATGTAATCGCTCCTCACCATCAATGTACTATCACTTCTTTTCTTTTTTTTTTAAAGTCACAGTACAGCGTGTAAAAAGTCATAGTATAGTATAGCGTGTTATAAAAAGTCCCAAAGTGATGTAGGAGACTTCCCAGCACCTTCCGTGCAGAGAGAACGTGAAGGAAACATCTTCCTCACCTCTGCTTCCTCTCTCCTTCCTCCTGCTCTGTAGAAGTATGTGAAACACGCCAGTATGGAGGTTCCTCAGCAGCAGACCACGGTCCAGCTGCAGGAGTGTATCGAGCTGTTCACCACTGTGGAAACACTGGAGGAGGAGAACCCATGGTAACACACTCTCTCACACACACACACACACACACACACACACACACACACACACACACCCCCTCTACGTGGTAGAAATGAGACTTGTGTGTGTGTGTTTTCAGGTACTGTCCGGTGTGTAAGAAGCACCAGCTGGCCACTAAGAAGCTGGACCTCTGGTCTCTACCGGAGGTTCTCATCATCCACCTCAAGAGGTTCTCCTACACCAAGTTCACCAGAGAGAAGCTGGACAGCATCGTGGACTTCCCCCTCAGGTACACACACACACACACACACACACACACACAC